AATTAAAATGACGGATAAATATTTTGTTGAATGTTGTTGTTACAAAACATTTATGTTTTGTAGCTTTTAATGTGTAATTATCCTACTATCGTTTAAGAATCAATGTCATAAATTACATGTATTTTAAACTCTGAAATTTTATTAGATTTTGATGGGGCTTTTTTAACAATAAAAATAAAATTTAATAGTGGCCATGTAAATTCATACTGGATAAGGTTATCAAACTACCTAATTTAATTATTTATAACTAACTTCTTACTCTTAAATTTATTTCTACATATTAATAAAGCGAGTTATTGCTTTTCATAAATACTCACTATGGTCACAAGATAAAACACAAAAATGTAAAAATTCAAGTAAAACTTATTATTTGTATCTATTGAGACTTAAAATAACTGGTTTACAACCCCTGGAACTCTACACAAAGCTACGACACTAACTGCATCAAACAGACCCTGATTAATTTTCAACACTTGCCAACCTTGTCTACATCAGGCCTTTCAGGTTTGTTCTGATCAGCAGGTTTGTCTCTAGACAAGCAGCAGCGGTGACAACATTGTTTTTTTGTTATTAATCATGTTGATTATTATCTTACTTCTCATTTTAACCTATGCCGTTTGACATAAAATCCACCTGCTAGTTACTAAACCTCTAGACCAAGGATGTCAAACTCGCGGGCTGCATGCGGCCCACAACAAATATTTTGTGGCCCGGCCAATATATAATAATACAATAACAGACTTGCCAACTCTCCCGATTTTTGACCGCTCTCCCACCAACCCGATTTACAATATATTTCTCCCGACTTTTTCTTATTCTTAAAATTTCTCACGATTTTTATGGAACTTGGCTTAATACTTTGTTATGTGAACAAAAAAGTGATTTTGGGACGTCCGAAGCAAATTAATTATTCTCTAGATTATATCTAAAACAAACCTTGCGAATTAGATAACTTCTGCTTTGTGAGTGAGAGCATATACGTATCCAGAAACGTCCTTCTCCAGTTCTCCAATGGGCATCGTGCTCCACTGCGTGTCATCTGGCATATATTAGCCAATGAGGACAAAACAAGCTGTTATTTGGATGTTCTTTAGTTATTTCGGTCATTTTGTCCTGAGTTGTGTGAGTACACGTACCTTTGGGGAAACAGTTTTAGAAATTATCATCTTTTGTTATGTCTGCGAGAAAATTGAAATACTCGTTTACGTTTCAAAAATCGTACACAGTTCACTTTCCTTCAATTATTTCCTCAAGGAAATGTAATAAATTTGCGATGTGTACCGCCTGTCGTTGCGATTTTTCGATTTCGCATGGTGGAAGGGCGGATGGTCTCAAACATGTGCGTACACAAAAACACAAGGGCAACATGAGCTGTTTTGAAAAAAAAAAAAAAAACGAAAAATTAAATTTTTCTTCGGAAACAAAAAATCAAAAGTTATTAATGCAGAATGTCTGTTCTCTGCCTTTTTACTGGAGCACAACCTGCCACTGAATGCATCGCATCACTCTGCAGCTTTATTTAGAAAAATGTTTCCCGATAGTGAAATCGATAAATACTCAAGTGCAAGAACCAAAACAGGTGCAATTGCTAAAGAAATGGATTTCGAAAATATATCTTCAGTTATTGATTGCATTAAAACAGCTCCGATTCTGCCTCTCTATGCAGATAGGAAGCAATAATACCGATTCAAAACTGTATCCAAATGTTGTTTCTTTTTTAATCCAGCTGTCTTCAGGAAATTGAGTGCAGTTTACTTTCTGTCCCCACTTTAGGAAGGACATTTGGCAGGCTTTAACAGAGCACAACTAATTATTAAAACTTTAAAAGTAACTGCAGTCCCTCTGGATAATTGCTTAGCACTAGGTGCCGATAATGCGTCAGTAATGGTAGGCTTGAAGACTGGTGTTGCAGGCATCTTCAAGAAAGAAAATTCAGATTTGCAGATTATGAGGTGCACCTGTGACCTCTTAAATTTAGCAGCTGAAAAGGAGTAGCTTCTTTACCAATAAATGTGGATGAACACATTGTTGTATTTATTATAATCTTGAAAGGAGTTCTAAAAAGGAGGAAAAATGAACAGGTCCAACAGCTGCATAATAGCAGCTTACAACTTAGAAAACTTGAATGAAGTTATAAAATCAGCTAGGATTGACAACCCAGTGGAGTTTAACAACTGAAAAACTGAAAGCTGATGGAATTTTAAAATATAGAGAACTGTCTAGAATTATGTTGGCCATCTTGACAGTTCCCCATAGTAATGCAGATGTGAGAGGATTTTCAGTGTTGTTGCGAAAACGAGGACTACAATTTAGATCTAATATTAGTGATGACACATTAGAAAACTTTATTAGTGAAGCAGGCCTACGTGCAATTGCTATGAACAAATTAATGAAGTTTCTTTCTTAAAGAAAGCAAAATCTGCCACTGTTTATTATACCATTTGTACAAAAACTGATTAAAGGTTTTTTTTTTTTGTTTTGTTTTGTTTTCTTAAAACGATGCAAATAATAAAAATGTTTTTTATGTGTAAGGAATTTTTGTGTTGCTTGCATTTAAGAATTAGTTACTATTTAAAGTTAATTCATTATTGAAAACTATATTTTCCTCATTTAAAGTCTTTTTAACATTGTGAAAAATCTCCCGATTTCTTAAAAAAAATCTCCTGATTTTTGAGTGTCATAGGTTGGCAAGTATGCAATAAGATATCAATGAAGAAAAAAATGAAATGTTTACTGCTAAGTAATTAACGATAATTTATTCAGTGTTGTTAGATTACTCACAGCGAGCTGACACACACAGAGACTACTTAAATTACAAATGCGTGTGAGTAGCTAGCATTCAGACCTTTGGCTTTTGGGGGACACGTGCACTCAGAACTTGTACGCATCCCCCGATAGCTGAATGTGGCCGAACTCATGGTCTCAGTTTTCCAATCATAGTTTTGTACGATAGGAAAAGATCATATCGTTATGAACACGTTTGACATAATTAAAGCATTCAAATGTCAACTATTTCTTTGGGAAAACCAACTTAAAAAATGAAGATTTGACGCACTTCCCGACGTGCAGAATGAACAAATCAAGTTTAGATAATACTTCTTCGTATCAAAAATACACAGAAAAAATTGCAAATTTAACAACTTAATTTGAAACGAGGTTTAATGATTTTAGTTCCCTCGAAGACAAATTTTTTTTGTTTTCTTCGATTTTTTCAATAAGTATTGACTTAGTACCCAGCCATATGCAAATGGAGGTGATCGAGATTCAATGCAACTCAAATTTGAAAGCAAAATTCATTGAAGTGGGCGTGCCTGAATTTTACAAATATTTACCAGCCAGGTTTGAAAATACTCGAAAATTCGCATATGAAATTATTTCCATGTTTGGTAGCACTTTCGGTGCGAGCAGTTATTTTCAGTCATGAAAGGTAATAAGTCTCCTATTAGAAACCGTATTAACGATGCTCACCTTGGGTCAGCGTTAAAGTTATCACTGCAAACAAAATTCCTCCCGAATAAGGAAAGATAATAGCAGAGAAGAGATGTCAAGTATCAGGACGTAAACATTAAGTTTTTCTTGTTCTTTTCTATATAAATATATATGTTTATTATTGTATTATTCAAAATAAATCTACATTTCTATTTATTTATATTTATTTATTTATTTTTTTTTTTTGTGTGTGGCCCGCCTAAAGTTAAACCTTGTTTGTTTGGCCCACTTATGAGTTTGACATCCCTGCTCTAGACTGACCAAGTATGTGACAAAATGAGACATAAAAAAAATCCAACTGTTAGTAAAACGTAAATGTCACTTATCTTCTTTCAAATATGCCCAACTATTATAAGTGTAAAATATTTAATGCTACTTGATATATTGCATAAAGTTTATTTTATTCTCAAACTTATTAATAATTATGTTAATTCATGTTTAGTAATAATGCATACTACTTAGGGATCTATTTTATTTTTAGGATGGTATTACAAAAGTGAAATTCAGGCATAGGTAATATTTTTAATTTAATTTATTCAGTTCCCATTTGCTCATAGGTCCTTAATTTTTTTCATTAATGGTCCTTAAAAGTACTTAATTTCCATGTGCAGAAATGTGTACGAACCCTGATGCCGTGGTTGGAGAGTAATGAAGATAAAGGCGACAGAAAATAGTTCACTGTAGGTGGAATCAAATGCTGCTAGCAGTTGAAAGTTGATTCTTAGTCGTGTTATCTAGATTTACCAAGATTCAGTTTTTGTCAAAAATTCAAATGTTTAATTCATACAATAGTTAAAATGATGAAGGTAAAATAATTTGCTGAAATTATTCAATATAATTATGAATGTTTCTTGTGTAAATATCTAAAATTTAGGTATTCAGATATTGCTGCATAGATAATGTGGTGCCAATGATATGCTTTTATCATAAGAAGATTGATAAATGATATCTGTACTTCTCATTATACAAAAACTATTCAGATACGGTTACTGGAGTTTCACAGTGACTTTTTATCATTTCAGGTGGCTGCTGTTTAGAGAGAAAAAAACAATTATCTGAAACTATTTACACCCAAAATGAATGATTTAAAGACAGATCTCTTTGAGTACATGCTGTTCTTTAATGAATATATGCTGCAATAGAGGAGGCCAGAAACTTTATTATAAAAGACTCCTAATGCAGTGACTGATATGTGTATTTGATCCCACATTGTGTCTTTTAGTTTATCATTATCAGTTATTTTGAAGTCATAGTCTAAAGGTTACCTTATTTGATTTCTTTCTTGAATTTACCATAGGTCTGCAGTCAAATGAGATAGTCTGAGGGTTTATTAATTTGATTTATGATGTAGGAGCTTGAGCAAAGTGCTGTAATAAGAATTATTGTTATGCAATTATCAACCTCACTTATTTGAGCACAAGAGTTGTTATAATTACAGCAGGAAATCGGATAAAAAATGTATACTTCTGAAAGATTAAAGTGATATTTGTAATAAAAACTGAGTAGTGTAATTTCCTTTATCAAAACGTTTATTTAAAATTTATACATATAAAACTTAAATTTTGTATCAAACTTCTGTTCCTGATTCTGATGATTGTGGAAAACTGATCTCATTTTTTGGTGAATATACTTTCACTCTGCATATTTGCTTCTGTTTTACTTTTTGTTTGCATTGAACTTGATAAAGCATATTACTTGGCAGCTGACTGGACGGTGGTGTGTCGAAAAATCCAATCCATGTATACAGTGCATCTGAAGCTTTAGAAAATTTAAATAGTTCTGTATAACTTGATTTGGACTTGATGATGATGAGACCAACAATAATAAGCAACACGGATATTATATACAAAATGTGATGAGTTCCAAATGTGGCTTGTAAATTTTTTATTTCTTCAGATGTCGTTGCTGTCTCAGCAACCAAAGCTTGTAAAGAAATCATCTTCATGTTAGTTCCATTTTGTTCTTCCTCCATATAAAATTTTATCGATTCTAATGAACGTTGTCGACGGAAACCATAGATAGGTTTAATGCTGTAGATAACTTGTAAGAACCATTGCTGACTAGAACTAATCTGAAAATCAAAATTTTCCACATCTCATTAAATTGAGCATTATTGGATATTGAAAATGCAAATTCTTTAGTTTTTCCTAATTGTTTCATTCAAAATGTTAATGTTTTCAATATTAGTGGAACATACATTTAAATACACATATATATGCTCAGTAAAACACTAGTAAGCAGAGGGAGAGGGATATACAATATTTTTTTTAAAAGACATCTGAAACAGAAAATTAGTTGAACAAATCACAGTTTAACCAGAAGTATGGTAATAAAAATTGCTTTTTTGTTGGATAAATAATGTATAAAAGGCTAATGCAACACTAGTTTTATGTAATTAGTATCTTCCTAGGCATCATCTTATCCCTTTGCCAGATAATATTCATTAGTTTTGTCTTTTCAATTAAATAAACCAACCCTATTTTTTCTTAACTGGAGTTAGTAATTGATTTCACTATAGCTGGCAGGGGTGATTGTAATCTGGATACAGCCAGAATTTTGGATTTGAGATCCAGATTACATGTTCTTATCATTACATATCGTCTTATCATATGGACATGCAATCTTCATAGACGGTAACCTTGAAAATTGTCTGTTATTAACTTTTATTTGCGTGGAGGCTGCAAAATTCATTAGCTAATCTGGAAAACTTAATTCATTGAAAAGGGAGCTTGAATGTATTTTGAAAGTGTCACACATAGAACTTGCTGATTATATGCAAAAAAAAAAAAAAAAAAATGCTTTGCATTCTGAAACAACTGCTTTCATTGCTGAAATGAAATCAGCAGATAATTTGCCAAATGTTATTTGAGAAGATAAAAACATTTCTATCAAAACATAAAAAGAAGTCAGAAACTTCAAATAAATAGGTACTTGTATACCGAAACAGGAAGGGAAAAACAATAGTCAAAAGTCTTTAATTCGGACATGTCGGGACTTCGGCGATTCCGGGTTATCAATTTTTCCAAATTATAGATCATCAGTTTAAATCTGGTAAGATGGCATGCAGAAATTATAAAATTAAAAATATGAAACTGTAATTTATGAAATAAAGAGCAATTTTGATCTAAAGGGTATCAAAATTTACAAAAAAAAAAAAAAAAAAAAAAAAAAAAGCTTAATATTTATTTATTTAAGACACAATAACACGCCGAATAAATACTAATTCAGAAGTCAAACAACAAAAATCAGCGTTATATTTACAAAATTTTCACAGGACTAGTTTTCGATGGTTTTACCGAACCACCATCTTCAGCTGCAAAACCGTAAATTATTTTTTAACCGGATTTACGGTTTTGCAGCTGAAGATGGTGGTTCGGTAAAACCATCGAAACTAGTCCTGTGAAAATTTTGTAAATATAACGCTGATTTTTGTTGTTTGACTTCTGAATTAGTATTTATTTATTTGTTTACTTTATTAAACATTTCTTTCAACGCGCACATGCGTAAAGCATACATTATGCATAGTCGAAATTAGAAAATTGCAACCAGAAAACTATTTGATTTGTTTTCGTGATATTTATAACGACGAGGAATTTGATTTAAATCATATCAAAGACGAAGTACATCGAGATGAAATACTACATTTAGTAAGGAATTATAAGCCGAATAAAATAAAAACATCTGTTCTGAAGATAAGGATAGTGCTGACAGATCAACTTCCAGTTCATTGTGCGCCGTGATGTCCCCCCCCCCCCTCCGCGCAGAGCAGCCTGAAATTGATAAACAAATTTCGGAATGGTTAGATAAACAAAGGAGTCTTTATCCATTTTTTGCAGCAATTCCACTTTTTTGTTTGATGGACATCGAAACATGCTTTCCCTTTGTAGATCCTTTTGCAGCTCCAGCATCGGAAATTCTTATTTGACATAATCGTAAGTTCCAACTTACTTTTATAAAATTGCTCTAACAGTTTGCAAAAAATAATAAGCCGGATCCAATCCGAAGATTAAGGAACAACGCAATCTGCAACATTAACTGAAATAGATAGATAATTTTAGCTTAGCGTATACTGTCCGTTATACATTAAACGCGCATGCATTGATGCATGCGCAGAAAGTTTGTAACTTTGAGGTCGGATTAACGACTTTTGACTGTATTGTAAATTTTTAGGCTTAGACTGAAAAAATGGAAAACAGAAACATTGAGTATTGACAGATTGAATTAAATTTGCATTGGATCTACTCTTAAAAGTGCATTTAATTACAGGGTTTATTTAAGAATGTGCAACATCCTTGGAAAACTGAGGGCTAAGAAGCTGTGAAGACTGACTTGCTGATCGAACTGATCTTTATACTATTAACACAGTACTTCTTGGAACTTAAATCTTTTGATCCCACCCCGAAAAGCAAGCTAAACTTAGCAATTATTTTAAGAAATGTAGATAAACCATGGTATATAATTGAGAAAGAATGTTGCTGAACATAAATTAAAAATTATTCTACTTTTCGCTTCACTTACGGAATTGTTTGAAAATTTGCATTTACCAAGTTGATATTCTGAATTATTTGGCATTATTGAAGGTAACTGTTTTCAGGAGTTTTTGAATTGGGGTCAGAATTGCCCACCCCCCTTTCCATGAAGCCTTTTAAAAAGTAATTCAAATGACAGAATCAAGTTTAAATAAAACTATAAACGTTTCATTAACAATTCCAGCATTAAGTAGTGCTGCAAAACTAGGATTATATTACTTGTTTAAAATGTTAATAAATAGATGTAATTACTAAAAATTATTGGATAATTATAAATTAATGTATAATTACAGATACAAGCATGCTATTAATAATATAAAAATATTACTCATATTAATTAATAGTACTTATTTAAATTTTTATTGTTATAATAGGAAATACTTAACACATATTTGGAGGTATTTTTTATGGATGTGTAATAATTCCCTCAATCTCTTTTACTAACAAATAGCCATTTTTGTTTTGTGCCAAGGATGTGATGAGTTTTTATTATTCACCTTTTCCCTTTTTGCAATTTTTTGTACTCCTAATGACATGCAAATTTTTTTTAGCTTTGTATTATTAAATTCAATGCTATTATTAAACTTCCCCTTTTCCCACACATTTAAAATGCTTTTATTAAATTTATCTAGCAATTCCCAAATTCCAAAATAATTTATTAGTTTAAAAACTAAAAAATTAAATTTAGTTTAATTTTTCACAATTTTAAACATTCCATTTCTGTAATAAAATTTATCTACATTTACAGCTTCCTTCATTTTTCACTTTTGCAGGTGACTGTTATACAACTCATTTGTGCTTCTGGATTTTTATTTTCCATTTTACCAAACTACCATCCTATTTCTTAATGCAATTCAACACTTTACATCGGCTTTCCAGTTGCATGGAACACTAACAATGAAACTAAGGAACATCTTTATCACAGTCTTTTAATTTTCTTTTTACTATTCCATTCAATTAATTGTTTAACTAATATAATTTAATATTAAATGAACTCTTTTTCCTAATTTTGGCCCTATTGCTTTTTGAAATATTTCCTAATTTAGGCTTGTAGGCTTCTATTCTCAACTAAAATAACTTAGTTTCGTTTTCTTAAATTCTGACTGAAAAATTTAATTACTTTGGATTTGCAACAGTTATTTAGCAGTTTCACCATTTTTGGGGTTCAGCTTTTATTGAAAAATAATAATTTAACTAATTGCTTTTGATTTGTAATTGTTTTTCTGATTCTGAGAATTTCTATTTTATACTGCTTAATTTTTAGACAGTACTATTTGTTTAGGGTGACTTTGGAGCAGATTATGTCTTGATGGTTAATTAAAAATTTGTAATTTAATTTTAATAGCATTCTTTAAAAAATTAATGGCTTTACATTTTAATTTAAATTATTTTTTTAAAACATTTTTGCTCTTATTTTTAAATTCGTCAGTTCACTTTTCAAACTGTTGCCACAAAATGTTAGAGTCCTGCATTATATTTGAAGAAATTAAATAATGAAAAATCTGCATAAATGATTGTCTATTTCTCGCATTGTGATAAAACAATGGTACATAGAGCCATCGAATTTTGAATGACGAAATCCTACTGCAAATATGGGCATCTGAAATCCCAAATTTGGGAATTTGTTTTATTATAGATTTTATAATTTGTAAAACTTTTAACGAATTTTTGATTTACAAACTCAATGCTTTAAAAGCGAGAAATGGCAATGTTATATAGAAAAAAAATACTTTTATCTCCAGCTCGCGAGACTGTGTATATCGGAAATTCTAAAGATATGCTTAATTTAACATTATTTTTGGGATATTGCTCTTGAACTGAATTTTATGGTTTGAGTGCAAAGAACATGATATTTAATAAATAAAGGTAAACACTCAAAACGTTAAAAAAAACGCCCCTTTGAACGTAATTTAAAATCTGAAAAATTTCAGTTTTTTTTTATTATTATTATTATTATTATTATTATTATTTTATATATATATAATTCAGAAACATTGCTCTGTTAAAAAATTTTCAGCTGCTCCTTGAAAGAGATCAAAGAATTTTCAACCGTTTGTTATATTTTTATTTGTTTTTTCCTGTTAGATAGTTGATCACCAATTTCGATTTAATTATGATGTCTTGATTATATATATATGTATGCATATGCACACTTCTATTCACATTGCCTTTATAATTTTACAACTTTATGCATCTGTTATTGGCAAAGTATGAAACGCCGGCATTCTATAGAATGCCTAGGCATTATATATATTGGCGGACGTTTCTCATGTGAAATATGAGAATTATTACATATGTTCTTTAGGCATTCTATAATAATACCTAGACATTCTTTAGAATGCCAAATTATTTTTAGGCGAAGTATGAAAAAAGGTTATGATAAGGCTATTATTTAAAAGACGTTCATTCGTAAAAAATACAAATGTTATTTTGAAAAATTAATGAAAGAGTGCCACTAAAAACTGTTATTCGAAATATGTCAAAAAATAGTAAGGTGATCTTGATACAACATAATGAGTTTGTATTATCTGTCGGGCTGAGA